AGAGCGCTGGCCCCAGGACTGCCAGGTCTCGGGTATGATTCCCAGTGAAGGGCATGTACACGGCTACAGATTCAATCCCCGGCCCCGAGCGGGGAGGCAACCAATGGATATGTCTCTCTCACATCAATATTTCTCTCTCTCTCTCTGCCTCTCCCCCTCCACTCTCTCTAAAAAAACCAATGGGAAAAAATATCCTCGGGCGAGGATAAAAGAAAACAAACTCCGCCATCCGGGAAAGGCAACACACAAATGCCGTTTCCCCGGGTGGAAATTTCCATCCACGGGATACACCCTTGTCAGGGGCCACCACGTCACTTCAAAAGGAAAATTAAAAATACTGTGAGTTCCTGAATTAATAACTCTCCATGTTTCTTATCAAGAAAAAGCCTCCCCACCCAGCCCCGAAGCTACAGTTGATAACCAGGAGCGAGAACGCGCACAAAGGCCCTTTGTGGGGAACAGCCGCTGTAACTCGGCCGATTTCCTCCGCGCTCTTTTTATGTTTTGCCTTAAAATAAATAGGCTACCTACAGTCAGGAGGCGAGACCCCTCTCCACCATGAAGTCCACTTAGTAGAGACGATACCGTTAGAACTTCCTCTCCACTGGAGATGCATTCGCTGGGGCCACGACCCCACGCCCCTGGCCCTGAGCGTGAAGGCAGCAGCAGGGGCCAGAGGCCTTCACCTCCCACGACAGAACACACCCGGGGCCCAGCTCAGCTCCGCCTCCAGCCGCACGCGGCCCACCCCAAGCCTGCCCGGAGAGGTGCGCTGCGTGTTTGCACCGAGGTCCAGGGAAGGAAAAGACTCTAGGTTCCATCCAGATCAAGATACTGCAGGTCTGAAAACACCCCGAGACTTCAGCAAGCCACAGGACACGGGCTCAGTGTCTTACCTCGAAGCGTGCCACCGAGCTGTCCCGGGGAAATACAGATGGCCCTGGCCGGGTGCTCAGTGGTTAGAGCATCAGCCATGGATGAAGGGTCCCAGGGTCAATTCCCGGTCAAGGGCATGTACCTCAGTTGCAGGTTCGACCCCCAGCCCTGGTTGGGGTGCATGTGGGGGGCAACCAATCAGTGTCTCTCTTGTGTCAATGTCTTTCTCTCTCGCTCTCTCTCACTTTCTCTCTCTTCCTTCCTCCCTCCCTTCCACTCTCTCTAGAAATCAATGGGAAAAAATATCCGCAGGTGAGGACTGAAAAAAGAAAGAAATACAGATGACTAGTAAGTGCATGAGGAACCCTGAGGCTCTCAGTGGGGTAGCCTGTGAATCTGGTGAAGCCAGCACGTGTCAGCCTCAGACCTGGGGGGTCACTTATGAACTTAAAGAGCATCTGTCGGTCACACGGTGAGATACATCAGCGTCGCCCGCCCCTGGTGACATGCACTGCGGACGCGACGTCACCAACACAAAACTCTGGGCAAACGTGTTCAGCATGAAGCTCAACATGAAGAAACCATCACACGGCGCGAAGCGGACACATGTGCTGCAAAACAGCCGGCCTGGCCTTGCAGACGTGTCACTGGATAAAAGACAAGGACTGTCGAGGACGGTTCTCCAGTAAGTCCCACAGGTTCACCTGAAGGTCACCATCGGGGAGGAGCCGTGTGCTGGCGAAGGGCTTCCAGCCAGCCCAGACCTGGCTCCACGCCTGTCCCCGCCGCGGGGCGACGACATTCGACCCCACGCCCGCACCGTGACACGGGGACAACGGCACCTTCTCTGCGAGGCTGTGAGCTGGCGACGTCACCTACAGCGGCCTTAGCACGCTCAGCAAGTTCTCAGTACCAGTCGGGGTGACCAGTGACCACGGTCACAGCCCTCAGAGGCTGAGGAGGGGAAACAGAGACGGCCTCTGCTGACCGTCCAGTCGAAGGACGAAAGGGCGGCGAAGGCATGAGACACGAAGAGGCTGTAGGAGGCTCCAGGGTGCAGGAAAGGGACACCCAGAGGAACATTGACCAGGGTCGCAGTCACGGCCAGCTTCCCGGGAGAGGTGACAGCAATCCCTCCAGGATGCGAGATCTGCACACGCAAAGGCTGCTGGGGACAACAGCTCAGACGGACCCGAAAACAGCCATGTGTGCCCGGAGCACACGATACCGGGCAGGGCAGTGGGCAGCAAGCAGGGCAGAGGGCAGAGGCAGGGTAGCGGGCAGCAGGCCGCGAGAAGGCGAGCAGGTTCAGCTGGCTCCGCAGGGCGCCTTACAGATCGCCTGGCGGTCGGGCTTTCACTGTCAGACCTGCACTCAGCCTGGGGCTGCTGACCAGCTCAGGGCAGCAGGGAGGAGAGGCTGGACAGGGCGGTCAGGCCTGGGGCCGGACACGAGGTGGGACAGTAGGTGGGGCAGCTGGGGGCTGAGACCAGGGCCGTGTGGGACCCGGACGGGTTGCGTGCCAGTCACCGAGGAAGGAGGCCCGGCCCCTGCAGGTCGGGGGGGAGAAAAAGAGAGAGAGAGAGAGAGAGAGAGAGAGCGCCAAGACTCGAGGGGCCCCTCAGGGCTGCAGGCAAAGGTCTGCCGGGCCCGGTCCTGACCCGAGAGAAGGGACGCATCCTGCATCCCCGGAGGAACACACCTGGACCAAGCAGACTGTCCCAGCCGAGCTCCAGTTTCAAAAGCCGGTTTACACGAAGCCACATCACTCACCACGCACAGTATCTTGCTGGCACCATTTGTTCAAATCTCACTCATCACTAATGGGACTTTAGTGCATGCAGGTGTGTGGGGGGGGGGGGGGGGTGAACCATGAGGCCGTGGGCCCTGTGCTCCCTCCATCCAGGCCTCTGAGCTTCGAGTTTTGGTCACAGGGGTCAGGAAGGCCCTAGACCAGGGGTGGGCAAACTTTTTGACTCGAGGGCCACAATGGGTTCTTAAACTGGACCGGAGGCCGGAACAAAAGCATGGATGGAGTGTTTGTGTGAACTAATATAAATTCAAAGTAAACATCATTACATAAAAGGGTACGGTCTTTTTTTTTTAGTTTTATTCATTTCAAACGGGCCGGATCCGGCCCGCGGGCCGTAGTTTGCCCACGGCTGCCCTAGACACTCAACTCCCACCCCAGCCCTCATCCTGCTTCCAGACACACCAGGTCCAAGGCCACGCACTGCCCCTGACCGTCCTGTCCCCCTGAGAGAAGCAGGGTGCCACGTCTTTGACGCTCCTAGGGAGGCCCCTATGCCCCACGTGCCCTCTGACCCAGTTCACCCCACCTGCCCTCAACCTGACACCAGAAGGGAGGTGCCCTCTGACCCACAGTTCACCCCAGCTGACCTGGCCGCAGAAGGCACAGAAGGTCCATGTCACGTGTGGCCGGTCCCATTGCCAGGTCCATGGAAGCACAGACCCGCCACTGTCCTGCGGACTCCTGGCTGGACTTGCTCCTCCTTCCCCCCAACCGAAGCCCCGTGAGCTCTGCTCAGGTCAAGCTCGTCCAGACCCACACAGGGCGCCTCTGTCTCGCAGAAGAGATCACCCCTGTGCCCGCCGGCCTCACAGGAGGAAGCACGGGGCCACGCGCCCGGGAGGAGCGTCCTCCTGGGAGGGACGCCTGGTTTAGGAGCCTTTCTCTCCACCTCGCGCCTCCACCTGCCCCAGGTCAGCAGCCAGGGCAAGTCTGCCGCCTCCACCTGCCCCGGGTCGGCAGCCAGGGCAAGTCCGCCGCCTCCACCTGCCCCGGGTCGGCAGCCAGGGCAAGTCCGCCGCCTCCACCTGCCCCGGGTCGGCAGCCAGGGCAAGTCCAGCCCAGACTGCAGGACCTTTCTTCCCCGGAGCCCAGGGTCCCTGGGAACCGCTTCCGGGGCTAAGGCTAAATACACATCATCTCCCCGCAGTGTCTGGAGAGAGGGCTGTCTCCCAGTAGGGGGGTGGGGGGGCACGGCCAGGCGTCTCCTGGCTCCGGCGGCGGTTCCATCCGCCTCCGCATGCTCAGTCCTCAGCCCTGCACCTGCACACGCTCACCCACCTTAGACGCGGTATCCCCAGCGTGTCTGCCACAGGCTTATAATCCCCTTCCTCTTGCTCATTTCAGTTGTAGAGTCCGAACACATAAAACCAGCAGCCTTTCCTCCCTTACTTTTTAAGTAAGAAAGGGACTCAGGGCGTCTCAGTGAATCGACAAGGACTCATGAGAAAAAAAAATCCCAAAACACTTGGACACATTCTTTCTGTGGTGCAGGCAAGCACATCCCACACAAGATACAGCCACCGAGCAAGGGGGGCGATCAAAGACCAAGGATACAGCCAACGCCCGGCGCCCCCGTGCCAGGCGAGAGGCCCAACACCACGCGGCCCCCAAAGCCTCCGCTCCCCCACCGCCTGAGCAGGGGCTCCACCCAGCCCGGCCGGCCTCTGGGCAGGCGGCTCAGGGCTGACCAGCACTGCTGGGGGCTTGGCAGTGCCCCTGGCGTCAGCCCACAGGTGCGAGCAGGTTCCACCGCCACCCCCAGGCAGCCCACCAGGATCTCCCCTGCCAAGAGCTGCTGCCTGGGGCGACTACAATGAACTCTTCTTCTACATCATCTACCCAGACCTATGACCCCACAGCGAAGGTGGCTGAGTTCTGGAAGTCTGTGGAAATGAAATCACACGCGTGTATTTCCTGTAACTCTGTCCACTCCGTGCTGTGTCTGTGGAATGGATTGCTGTGTACTACGGGGCGGGAGCTCATGGATCTTACTTTTAGTTCCTATATGTTCGCTGCTGTGTGGTACCCTATGAAATTAAATTCCACGATTCACTAATCCAAGCTGTTACTGATGGGCACTGCATTATTTCTGATATTTACAAATCCTTCTGCTAGAACACCCCCTGCCTAGGTCCTCCCACAACCACACAGGCGCACGGTCCTGGTCACGCAGCGCTGAGCTTCCTGTTCCCCCCGGCGTGCAGGAGCCCCGGTCCCGGCCAGTGGGGACAGTTCCCGGCTAAGCGCTCCGAGCTCAGCTCCTCGCGCAGCACCTCCCGGCATGGGGACCGCACCCATGTGCGTCGCTTACCGTGCGGATGCCAAGTCTACAAACAGCAAGTGAGATCTGGAGACATTCAGACATCCTCTAAGATTAAAATGAGAGCAAGAGGTTACAACCGAGTGTCCCACCGGACGCCTGCCCCTCGTCGCGCTTCTCTCTTGGAAGAAAAGCAGCTGCCCTCTGACCCCGGCCTGTGAGCAGGCGGCCGCGCTCTCCTTCCCTCGCCGTGGCAGGCCAGCGCCCCTGGACAGGAAGGGGGACCGCCATGGGCCCTGCGATTCCACAGCACCACGCAAAGATAGGCCTCTGGGCGGGCTGGATTTTGTTTGCTTTAAATACTGTTCAAATAGCCAATTTTCAATGATAAATTCTTTGATTGCTAAAAATTAGTTTTATAAGCATCCCTCGCTCCATTCATAACAGGTTATAAATATCCACAACGCTCATGGGAAAGTAAGCTTTGTAAACGGGAGAAGTTACCACAGTTCTACACTCAAAGTCTGAATGGGCGGAGTTAGAGCGGACTGGGGCCCTGCTCTTGGAATATAAACGGCAGCACCGGGTTCAGAATTCCCAACTCCTCACTCGCAAAGCAAGTTCGGGTTCCTGAAACTCATGTTTGCTCACAAAGCCATTCTCCCCCAACCTGATGCTGACGGCTCTCTGTTAACTGGGGGGCTATGCCAGTAGGCTGAGCGGCAGGTACCCTAACGTGGCTCAGTCCGGCACTGCGCCTGCGGCTTCCTGCGGTCCAGGGGGCCCCACGACGCCTCCGCCACCATCTCGGCATCCGTGGCTGCACCCACGGTGCCCGGAGGCTGGAGCACAGCACCCCGATTCCCACAGCGGCCCCAAGGCTCCCGGGCCAGGAAGCGTATCTGACTAACTCTGCAAAAGGCCCCGCCTCCTCAGAATCCCGAAGAAACTGAAATCTGTATGATTAAGACAACTGGTGAGCCCGGCGGCTGGCTCAGGGGTTGAGCGTCCACCTCCTGACCTGTGAGCCAGGAGGTCACGGCTCGATGCCCAGTCAGGGCACATGTCCAGCTGCGGGCTCGATCCCCAGTGTGGGGCGCGCAGGAGGCAGCCGATCCGTGACTCTCTCATGGATGTTTCTCTCTCCCCCTCTCCCTTCCTCTCTGAAACCAATAAAATATATTTTTATAAAAGGTATCTGAGAGCACAGCGGAGCTGCTCTGCCCTGGGACAGGAGCTGGTAATGCATCGCAAGGGTCAGTTCACAGTCTCCCCGAGATGCCCTGTTGCCAGCACCCGCATCACTGCGGCCGTAAGGCACAGCCTGGGGTGAAAGATGAGTCGCTGGCTGTCTCCAGTTAAAGAGTGACTCTCTGCCCTGGCGACCCGCCGGAGCCTGAGCCACACTCACAGCCCACGAGGCGGCCGGCGGGAGCCGCAGGCCTAGCCCCCTCCTGTGCTGCTTCACCTGATGGAAGCGCCAGAGGAGATGCTGCCGGCAGCCGGTCCCGGGGGGCTGGGGGGGGAGGGGTGCTAACACCGGCTGAGCAGGGACAGGGCATCACGGGGAATCCAGACAGACACGAGGAGACACGCAACGGGAAGTGGGCGTGACTACTTACAGTTACGGTTGTTTTCCCTAAGAAATGCCAAAGGCAAGCATGGAAATAAAGGAGAAAAACACTTCAACGAGAGGCAGAACGTAAACGTCGTTCACTCCACAGTCCGCACTAACCACCAGGAGGCGGAACAAGTGTCAGCCCTGGAGGGTAAGAAACAGCTTCTCTTCTAGACGAGCTGCCGCCAAGACCCAGATGTCCCCACGCGCTGCACACGCCTCGTCCTGACCACAGCGAGGCCACGGCTGCGCATCGGCGTCTGCCCGCCTGTCGTCGGGGTGATGCGATGACAGGTGAACACAGTCCAGGCCCCGCCTCAGAGCGCCGCGCGGGGAGGAGGACAGGAAACGTCACAGGCAGTGCCTGGCCGATCCAGACAGGGTCCGACCCCGAGCCGGGAAGGGCACTGGGCGCTGGCATGGGCGCCGGCCCCTGGCGAGCGCGGAGAAGCCTGCCTGCCACCTTCCGCCTAGTAGGGAGTGGGGCAGGGGACGCGGGAGGCCTGCGCGTGTGGCTTTGTTTTTTAAGGTGGAAGAGGCCTTTTTCTTAGGCGGTAAGAGATCTTTCTCATGACAGCTGAAGTATCAGCCTTAGCGTTGCCGCCCCCGGCACTGACTCCCCGAAGTCTCCCGGCCCCGGGTGTAAGGGTGGCCGGAGCGGCTCAGGATGTCAGACGCCAGGCTGAAGGCGCGTGTACTTGGCGTGAATCCCCTTTGTTGCATAGCCTGAGCGCCGACTGTGTGCAGGCCAGTCCCTGCAGAGACCCCGGCGCACAAGCCCGGTTCTCAGGGAGCGGGGGCGGTTGGGGGGGGCGGGGGGGAAGGGGGCGGGACAAAAGCAACAACGAAACCAACTGGATGAGGACAAATGCTACAAAGAAAGAGAAAAGAACAGAACAGAATGTGCCAGGGAGAGGAAACCTGGGGTATGGCCACCTTTGAGAGCAGATGCACTTCCAACAATGTCTGACCAGTGACATGCGGCCCCCAGCCTGCTGTTGTGAATAAAGCTTTATTGGAACACGGCCACATGCCTCAGTTTACGTGTCACCCAGGCCTGCTTTTGGGGTGGCTGAGACAGAGACTGCGGCCTGCAAAGCCCGAAACACTCCCCCGTGACCCTTCACAAGAGCTGCCCACCCCCCCCGACCCCCACCCCACCCCCAACCCCGCTGCAGCCCGGCACCTGGAGTCCCCACAGCAGAGCTGTTTCAATGCCACTGGAGCCAGGCCGGCAGACAGAGCTGCCTCTGCACTGTCCAGGGCGCCCACATGCCCACCCAACACGGGGGTCAGGACGAGCCTGCTGAGTGCAGGAGCCAGACAGGAGGAGGGAGGGGCTGGGAGGGAGAGGGGAGGAGAGCTGTCTCCACCCCGAACCCGTCGGGCAGGCGCCCTTCGGGGGATGTTCTCAAAGCCCCAGGTTCCTTTCTTGCGGCAGCTGGGCAGCTGAACACTGGGCACCCCCAGAACAAAAACCAAGGGCCTAAAGTCACTAGTTTCATTTCAAGCAAGTGAACACGACGAAAAGGCTGCTTCTAAACCACGTCCTGTGAGCTGTGAGTCCCCAGAAGTGCCCCCCAGACCCCCCCGGAAAAGGCCTGCTGCCCCTGCTGCCGCTCCGACCCCTCCCATGATGGCAGCAGCAGTGGGGACACAGTCGCTGCAGGCACGCTGGGCTCAGGAAGCAGGACTGCTCTCAGCAGCCACCCATGAGCCGTCACACCTGACTCCTCTCTCCGCCGTCTCTTCACCATCATGCGTTCATGTCGGCTCACGGAGGCCGGGCTTTCATGAGGACTAAGCTGCGCACGCCTCCTCACACAGCCGTGTCCCCTCAGCTTCTTCCCGCCCACTGTGCTCTGCTCTGCAAAAATGCCAGATTTAAAGAGTTTTAAAACCAGCAACTGAGAATCTGTTCTGAGCAGGGAATCAAGAGAACACTCTGACCCAGCCTGCTCCACGAAGCGGCTGAAAGTGAGTATGAGGCTCACACACTCCATGAGGTCTAAGCGTGAGGCGCTCAGCACGGAGGAACTGGAGACGGTTCCCCTGTGGGTGCTGCTTCCCAAGGCGGCCAGTCCGGCCAGGCCCGTCCCCGAAGGAAGACACACGGGGAGAGGCTGACGCGTCGCTGGCGCGGGAATCCAGGTCCTTCCCACGCGGCTGCAGAGACCTCGGCCTGAGCCCAGCGAAACGCGGCACAGATCCGCTGCGGGCTCGCAGGGGCCCTGAAACCAGCAGGAAACGCAAAGGAAGCCCAGGACGGACCAGCTTGTCCTGCTTGAATACCAGGGCTTGGAACCCAACATCACGGGAGGGCTGTGCTGCACAGAGAGGAATACGGTGAGTAATGTAGACGCACAGCACTCCCGCGCACGACGGGGAGAAAGGAAACCCATCATCGCAGGAGGCTCAGAGCCGGGACACACGTGCAGCCAGCGTGCAAGCGACACACAGCCGCACCCCTCAGCTCAGCGCCCCGCGCCCCACAGCTCAGCGCTCCGTGCTCCCCAGCTCAGCGCTCCGTGCTCCCCAGCTCAGCGCTCCGTGCTCCCCAGCACGTGGCCAGGCGGGAAGCAGCCAGAGGGCCAGGGAGCCGGCCATCAATCACCAGCCGGGGAAGTGCTCAGAGGCATGAACTTGACTTTCAAGCTGTTCGGTTCCAACAGAACAGACACTGAGCCTTCCCAACCCCATTTGATCCTGGGCAGGACCTGGAGAGCCTGCCCACTGTCACGGCCACAGGGCCGGGCAGCCTGGCCACGGGGACTCAGGCACCCGGGGCCACGGGCCAGGCCCTGTCACCCCACTGCACACCCAGGGGCGGCCACGACCTTCACCCCGGTTCCCAGCGGTGCGGGCAGCGGGGCAGGAAGGGGTGAGGGTGGGCGCTGGAAGAATGAACGGAACCGGGAAGCTTTGTGGCAACAAGAGTGCCCTCGGCCCCGTTTTCCATCCGAGTCCCAATCCAATCAGAGGAAACACTTCCACCACGTTTACGGTCCCAGGGCTTGGTAAGAGTCTGTGCTTCACCCTGAGCTGGTGTCGGGGTCACCAGTGTCCCCAGTGCCCGAGGCTCATAGGAAACGGTTGTCTGCACGAATGAATGGAAATCATGTGAAGGAGCATTATGAGCGCTGATTTCACGGAGCTAGAGAAGAACGGAAGACAGCGCGCCAGGAAGGAAGACGATGGAGAAAAAATGTAGGAAGTCTGCAGTCATCTAATCACTCCCATCTTCCCCACAGACGGCATTAATCCTCAGAGGCCTGGACTGGGCTGCCCACGCGCCCCCCCTCGTCGGTGGCGGGGCCAGAAACACAGTCGAGCCACGTGAGTCCCCGGTACCTCCGAGCTTATCGGAATTGCCAAACAAAGCCCACAACTGGACAAGGTAGGAATTTCAGAACGCAGTCAAGTGATTTCTCAAAAAAAAAACCCCAAAACCCTCTTCGCTGTCATGCACGGGCATCGGGAGGCAGCCCCG